GCGGTGCATTAATAGTTTAGCTGTACTCAATAATCACATATGAGGGGCAAGACATTTTACCTACAGTGTTTTTGTCAAAAATATGTTCAATGGTGTATAGTTTTTTCCAAGCTTTGTCTGCATGAACCCAACTAGTCGTTGTGCAGCTTTAACCATAAGAGGCTGATGTGAAATGTATTTATTCCGCTTGGTTTTCCCGTGTTTTCTTCCTGGCGGCTGGTGCTGTTTCAACTTCAAGACGCTTTACTCACTTAAAGTACGTGCAGTACATTAGAAAAGTACCGCAGGTACCTCGTTACAGGAAATGTCACCCAATCATCATGCATTTCTCAGTGTGATTTCTAATGCAAGCAGTAAGTCAGCTAGAAGCTGTCAGCGATGGGTACTTGGACCGTACTCCGGCCTGGGTTCTGTCCTTTGTCCCCACACACGGCTCAACAAACAATGGCGTCACGTCAGCACACAGTGCAGCGCCTGTTTGTCCTGCATCAGGGCCGTGAGTTGGGACTTCTTTTTGTTTTGTCTGAGAACACAGAGGTCGATGTCAGGTTACTCAGCAGATCTGATGCTGAAGCGTAGGCCGCTCCGTCCGATGGAGATGAAGTCTTCTCCCCCCCTCCGCGCTCCATTGTCATGCCATGCCATGTCCACATTAGCATGCATGACATGCGGGAATTTGTGGGAGTGCATTTCTCATAAATTAGCTCTCTCCTCCGTGGAGGCGAAAAGGCCGAAGTCTGGGAGAGGAGCAACTGCTGGGTGAGGGGAAGGAAGAGAGTGATTTAGGGAGCACAGGGGAGGGTGGGGTGGTATTGCTCAGTGTGTTTATCAAAGGATATTTGGCCGGCTTCCTGCAGAAGCCATGCGAATAGGCCGTGTCCTCGATCGGCTGCTGCCTGTGATTTCCTGCCCTGCAATGGTATCGTCTGTCCACTCCAGATGCACAGCTGTCACGCTGATGATTTTGTCTCTTTGTCTTAACACGCACGCAAGTGTTGCTTACAGCGAAAGCGACCTGGAAACAACGCGTGCATCAGCGTCCCTCCCATCATGCGTCGCTCACTGTTCGCCCTCCTTTAACAGGCCGCTGTGCCGGCTGTAACAGTAATCGCATATGGTGCAGGGGCGCACATAAAGATGCGCTCCCGCAGGCAGCGGCTGCTGATGCCGGCTGAAAATAGATCCCGTGTACGCTCAGCACTTTTTCCTCCTGAAGCTTTGCTGTTTATCAGCAGCCCTGGATGGATGCAGCTGGCCGGCCTCATTTAAGCCGCGGCTGCCTCAACGTTACCGTCGGCACGGGCAGGTCTACAGTAGAAGACTGAGTGTGTGTGTGTGTGTGAGAGCAGAGAGGCCACATGCACAGGCAGGGTCGCACTTTGTTTCTGTGAATGACATAAACTCTCCGTTTTAAAATGAGCGCTGCAGAATGTGGTCGTTGTTGCTCATGGTGAGGGCAGCTCTTGGGGAAACACCGACAGAATATGTAGGTGTCAATCAATTTAGAACACATACTCGTCAGTGTCATTGTCTGCACCACGGATGCATTTGGCTCAAAGTCACACAGAAAGTTTCCGTTAACACCGTCACTGATTGAACTGACACACCTGTTGCTCTGAAACCATTGTGTTTTCTGTTGGAATTACAAATTGATTTGAATATTTTGAGTTCATACAAAATGACAGTCCTTTTTCAGATCAGCTTACTCACAATGAAGAGCTCTACTCGGCCTTCTGTGGCTCCAAAGAAGCTTCATCAAGTCTGAGAAAATAATGTCAATGTTAATAATAGTGTTAATCATTTTTATATTATACGTCTGGAGTTGAATATTGAATTCATGAATATCAAGACATCATTAAAAACACAACAACAGGAGGCATGAGGGACACATACAGTTGAAAGATACTTTTGTTACCAGTAAAAACAGATCTCACTATTCAGATTCTGTGGTCAGTCTTAGCAGTAAGTACAGAAATGTGAGTCTACGCGTGTGCGTGTGTCCTGAGCAGTGTTGTGAATGAGCTAAGCTGATAGTCCACTTAAAGCCTCTACCCCCCCCACCGCCCCTAAACTCCCCACTTACTATACGCACGTATACACCCCTCTGCCCCTCTCAGCTGCGGACTGTCGGTGAGCTGCTCACAGGCACCGCTGCCTCAAAGCAGGCGGCATGCTGGGAGGCCACAGCTGGTGGATGCACCAGGGTAAACACAAGGAGGACGCAGAATTAAAAATGCAGAGAAGTCTTATGTTAAACATTCACAGTGGTCCCCGTCACACATTGCACACTGTTTGGAAACAGATGTGTATTTAGCATATCACCCGTCTGGTAACTGCTATGATGTTTTCACGTGCCAAACATTTGGCTGTCAGTCGCCACGTCATAGAAAAAAAGCAATTCCGCGGATGTGGGAAAATTAAACTAAATGTGATGAATGTCTTAATCACATTTGTTTTTAAATGTGTGGGAATTTCCATGTCTCTTGACTAGCATGTTTGAATAAATGCGCGCGCCGCTATGTTGGCAATGTAGACAAAAAGGTCACGAGCCCATGTGGGAAATACGCTGAGCTGTAACGAGCCAGTTGGAGGAGACGTAATGAAAGATACGACAGCTGCACCTCACTTGACTTCAGAGTGCAACAACACATTTATTCATAGCTTTTCCAGAGGCACTCTTCTAATAATCAACCGGGGTTCATGAAAGAGAGCGAGGTGGAAGTCGCGCTGGCAACCTGCGCCTCTGAAAAGTGAAGCCAATCGGGGAGTGCTTTCTTTCGGGAGTCAATTCTTTCTAATAGTTGGAAAGATGTCTATGAGAAGTCTATGAGAAAATGCCCCCCACTGCATGTTTGATTTCAGTGAACATTGTAAACAGGAGTTTGTGGTCTTATTGCTCATAATTTGGGCTCAAATAAGTATGTTCATCAATTAACATAACCAATCTTGTCACATAACCAGCGTTTATAAATTGCGGTATTTAGGTAACAAAGCTAAGCTTGAAGCGTGTTGGAATTTGGGGATTCTAGTAACCTGGACCCACCTGGGGCAGTCTATAGATAAAGATTGGGGTATTTATGACCAAGCACAGCGACCACGCGGTTCTGTACAGTTGTTCTGACACATTACGTCGCAGATCATGTAGTTTAGCTAAAAACCAAAGTTGGTTGCTTTACAATTTAAATCTCTATTTCTCATATCTGCACTTTAATCACACAATCCCTGTCTGTATATTGGGGTCATGTTCCATTCAAATGGGCACACACACATATCCTCACTTGTGCTGTGGAGTGCTGAGACTCTTGCATATATTATCTCCAATTTCACACATACTGTCCAGAAGGGAACAAGTAAATCAGTCACTCAAATATTATATATTATTATATAATATAGACCTTTCAGCCCTGAAAAAAACGAAACAGCAACCTAATGCAAATTCTTATTCATCTTCCTGAAACTCCACCAAGCCTTTAAATCTTTAAACACATTCCTGGACTCCCTCCGATGACCTCAAGCTATTTTCTCCCGACATATTTGTGTTTCCTCGTGCATACTGCCTAGTTGTTTTTTTCCAGGCGGAAAAATCCACAGGATGGATTCTGTGGTTTTTGAAGTGTTATTACTAAAGAGGGAAAATCCTTTTTCACTGGTGGAGACCGCTGGAACCCTGGAAGCTGCAGCAGTGCTCACCCAGTTTACACCATTCCACCCAGGGTAATTTGTCCTCTTGTTACACCCCCCCCCCCCCCCCCTTCCACTCCTCCACCAACCCCACACTCCCCACAACAAAGGACTGCAAAACAATCAGTAAACAACAGGCTCATTAAAACCACATTGTGCCACGCATCCTCTACATCTGCGAGCCCTTCGTTAAGTCTCGTCAGAAAAACTCCACATCCCCTCGGCCTTTGAAAAGGTGCCTTGAGGAGCAAACAATGGCCGTCTCCGATCCAAGGCGAACGTGCCTCATTTGTATTAGCGAGTGCACCTTTTTTTTTTTTGCCCCCTTCATGCGGGATGATTGCATTCCCAGACCGCTAATGTGTTTGTCACCAGAGAGCGAGCCAGGATAAAGCTGCAGGGATTGGTTGCCAGAGTCGGAGTAAAGTGGCGCATGCAACCACCCTGCTGATCTCCAAACAGCGGACAAGCCTGGTGTTAAAGCCGGCTCCTCTGGCTCCTTTCTCCGGTCCGTGAGCTCACTGACAACAGCGGCAGAGGGCGGCCCCGGACTTCTGCGGGCTCAGGAGTTTACCTAATCATGTGGCATTAAGTCTTAATGGAAGGCTTCCCTCTGTCATCCCACGCCACCTGGCCGCGACGGGGATAAGCCGAGGTCTTACAAACCATTAGGCTTTACGGGCACTTGACCCGGCGACGGCGAGGCTGCTCATCGGTATACTTACGGTGCAGTGTACTGCTGGACACACTGAAATCAGTGGCACACCTCCAAAGGGTAATCAAATACTGGTACTAAAACTTAAAGCTGGAACTCAAACTCGGCCTTGGTATAATTCATTGATTGAGTCACGTAAATCGTCGTTGAGTTTTGGAAGAATCACTTGGTCCTCCAGTTAAGACTGCATATTCTGCATGGATTCAACAGCGAATACATGTAAGTTTGTGAATATGAAGCAGCACTTGAGATCCGACATCTTAGCATAAGAGTTTTGCAGATGCAAAGCAGTGACGTGAGTGGGCGTAGGCGAAACTAACGATATAACCACAGAGCAGACAGTGGCAGGCTGCTGGAATGTCCCACAGGTTGCTGGCACGACCGCGAGGGTGGACACACACAACCTGCCAACCGTCCCAAAACTAGCAGCTCTTATTTACAGCCACATAGACCGTTCAGTGCTGACCTGATGAAAAGACGAAGCGCTGCTTTACGCTGTTTGTTTATGGTCGTCGGGGCCGTCGGGTTATCTCACCACACTCCGAGTGTTCTGAACAATAGCTGTGCTGATCGTAATGCTGGCAATTTCCCTGTTTTTTTGCAGGTCACTGCCAGGGGATTCGCTCCATTGTTGCAGTTTGCCTACACCGCTAAGCTGTTACTCAGCAGAGAAAACATCCAGGAGGTCATCCGCTGTGCCGAATTCCTGCGCATGCACAACCTGGAGGACTCCTGCTTTCGCTTCCTGGAAGCTCAGCTGCGCAGTGAAGAGGACGGCCTGCTGCTCTGCCACAAGGCGGCGACGGAGGGGGCGAACCACTCCGAGGATGAGAGCATGCAGTCGGAGGCGGAGAGGCCCGCCTCCCCGAAGGCGAGGCGCTGTGCCGACGCCATCACCTCCTTTGGGCACCCCGACGACGATCGGCTAGCAATCGCCATTCCCAGCAGCTTCACAGACGGCCGGCTGGACTTTGATCGGCACGGAGCGTCAGACCTGCCCCGGTGCCCAAAGTACAGGAAATACCAGTGGGCCTGCAACAAGCACAATAATGACACCTCCTCACACACCAGTACCTCAGGTTTTCCAAGCACATTAAAGGAGAGCAGTGTTAGCGGGTCGGCCCCGGGTCAAGGTAGGCTGCCTTTGGCACAGATCAAAGTGGAACCGCAGGCAGAGGAAGAGGCTGTCTCACTGTGCCTGTCGGGGGACGAACAGGAAGTCAGGGATAAAGACAGCGAGACGGCCATGGAGATGGACAGCCCCATGTCTGTGGAAAAAAACAAGAGAACCAAGTCCCCTTCCTGCCTCCGAGCCTTCTTCAAGAAAGGGGCGGACCTGCCCAGTCTGCCCAACACATCACAGCAGCTATTCGCCAACAGACTTGCCTGCCCCCAGGACAAAGGAAACTCTCAGGGAGATCATAAAAAGGACTTCATGCCTTTCGCTGGGGAGCTGTGTCTGTCTGTCACATCCCCAAAGGACATGAACGATTTCCCCGCAGGGTTGTCCCTCAAGTCCGCCTCCTGCGATGGGGTCTGCAAACAGGAAGCTGAGCTCGACCGCCGCAGTGTCATATTTTCCTCAGGGGCCTGCGAGCGACTGGGAACCCCAGCACATTCCTACCCCGGTGGGAACTCTTTGGAGATGGAGCTCTCTGAGCACATGGCGAAGGGCCTGTGGGCGGGGGCCAGCCAGTCCCTGCCCACCTCCCAGACCTATCCTCCCACTACCACCTCCACCGAGCCCCCGCTCCTGTGCCGTCCCCGACCCAACACCAGCTGCCCAGTGCCAATCAAAGTGTGCCCCCGCTCGCCGCCTTGCGAGACACGCACCAGGACTTCCAGCTCCTGCTCTTCGTACTCCTACGCGGAGGACGGCAGCGTGGGCTCCCCCTGCAGTCTGCCCCAGTTCGAGTTCTCCTCCTCGCCGTGCTCCAACGTGGCGCGCTGCCTCAACGTGGACCAGCAGGAGCAAAGTGTGGCCGGGGACAGCCTTTACAGCCAGGCGCGGCCCAAGATCAAATGTGAGCAGTCCTACGGCACCAACTCCAGCGACGAGTCGGGCTCCTTCTCAGAGGGGGACAGCGAGTCCTGCAACGTGCAGGACCGGGGGCCAGAGGTGAGTGTAAAACGCCGTCTCTCACGTGCAGCACACCATTCCACTCTAGCGCACCGCAGCTAATTACTCTGCAGTGCCCTGCTCTCCAGGTTCGTTAGCAGCCATTAAATCATCGTGTAATTGAAGCGGGGCTGTTCAGAAACAGGATTCACAGCATCACCAAAAGGGCACAGATGTGCTTTGATATTATTAATCTGCTCCATGCCCTGCCGGAGATCTGTGTGATGAGTTTAAATACGTGAGCGCCAGATGCACCAGGACAGCCTAGATGCAGAAGGTCTCTTCGAGACGCTGATAGGTTAATCACCGTAGGTGAAAGGCCCTGCAGGGCATTGAAGGGTAGCTCTGCCCTCGGAAGTGATTCGCTCCGGCTCCTCCCTGCCAGTGCCAAGTACCCCAACTACGCCGACGTCTATAATCCGCCCCTATAAATATGCATATATGCTACGTCTCAATAAAGCCGAGCCAACTTCTGACATTTCTGATCCACATTAGCGGCGACACCCAGCCGCTGTGAAGGCGCTCAGTGCGCCGCAAAGCGATTGAGACCGTTACATTACAACGGCAATAGACTTTGGCCACTGTAGCAAGCGGGCGAAAAGGTTCGGTCCGGCCTCACGGCGGGACTGTAGATAGCCGATAGCCGATGCTTTAATCAGCCTCTTCCCAACCCACTGGAGCAGGTGTCCTCCAAGCTGCAGAATAGACATTTCAGAGAGACGGAGCGCTGTTGTGATAATATCAAAATGGGCACAAGTCCCACTTGGGGGGGGGGGGGGTGGGGGGTGGAAGGCATTAAAATCAATTGACAGTGAATTGCTCTGCTTCCTCAAAGCACTGCTGTTTACCCGCGTTAATGATTAAACTTTCCATCCGCGGCTCAGGCCTTTCCCTGGTGTTAAGCCGCTACTGAAGGATAAAACCCTCCAAAATGTCTCTATGCTATTAGGTGCTTTTGGGGGGGAATTTGAAAGGATTTTCAAATCAATAATACAACGTATCGCACTGATACCGTCGCTGTTTGTCTCCCCCTCGACCGTGACGTCACATGTTGGCTGGAGCTTGAACTCGAGACCTTTTGGCTGGCGGTGGCTGCACGTCTCAACTTAACTCTTGTGACACTGCATGCAGTGCATTGCTCTGTGTCTGCAGAGGGAAGCAGAAAAAAGGGTGCAAGAGAGATAGAGAGAGTGGTGTGTTGCCATGGCGATCAGATTCAAAGAACTAGTCGGTGTGTTGCAAGGTTTGGAGCTACGTGACAGGATTTCGCTTTCCGCGGGGAACGAATTCAGTTCTGCTGCTCAGAGCTGTGAGATAAAGAGGCTCAGCAGTAATGTGTAATTATTACCCTCGTGGCACAAAATGCTCTCCGCCATTAGATTCGTGGGCTTTGGAAAGGCTCGCCGAATGTGCTACTGTAAATGATGTGGGATTGATTCACAGCGCTAAGCTATCACCCGGGAGAGCAGCCCAAAAATGACTCTGAAATATTTCAGTCCCCTTTGTCATTGCTTTGTGTGCGTATGGCTGTGTTTATGCATGTCACCCATTACTCCGCACAATATCCTCTGTCAAATCTCCATTGACTCACAGGGTTTTATCTACCAGCTTTCCACTCGCTTTAATAAGCTCCTTCATGAATGAACGTTTGTGCCACTGGGTTTTGCAGCAGAGGCCTTAGAGCGTTACTTGCAAAGCCAAGCTGGATGTTAGGTCACCCCCTCCCTTTGCCTTTATGTGGCAAGGAAGTGCTCACCTCATGCTACCCGGGCGGCCCGTTACCCCGCCGTCGTGCAAACACGGGGACGTCCGGGCTTGCTGTGTCCACAGGGCACCGGCCTGCGGCCCCCGGACTGCACACCGGCCACAGTGGATCCCGGAAGACGTCAAAAGTGTAGAGGCGACGCGAGAACTGTCAGCAGCTTCACGCAGCTCAAGAGAGAAAATGGGAAGCTATTGAACCAGGATTACAATGTGTCTCTGTTCCAAATGACAAATTGGACCCAGATTATGCACCTGTATTGTCCCACTTTTGGCTTAGATATGACTCGGTACGGTCTCACCTGTTCTGACAGCCGTAATGTAGACTGCCGACTTACCGGCCGTGCAACAGCAAAAGTCGAAGTTGTTTACAGAAATGTTTTGGAAATTTTGAAGCTCCTACCACGGTGCGATTCCAAATAAGAGAAATACAAGTTGACATAATGATGTCTTTAGTCTTGAATCGGAGATGTGTGCGGGGCTAGTGTGACTCCTTGTAGCCTTGTGCTTTTTTCTTTGTGCGGTTGCATGCTGCAAAAATCCTAGAAATGGTTTTCATTTCTCGCCTCGCACAACAGAACTTATTTTCCTGCAATTTTGTCAAAGGCACCAGGGACATCCGGACCCTCGGGCTTGGCCCCACACCAGTACGTTTGTCCCCGCAGCGCAGTTCTCCGGTCAGCATGCTTTATAAGCAGCGCGGAGGCTCACTTCTATGTAATCTTAGCAAACGAATATGGTTGTGTAACCGACACCACTGTGTTAATTACGCTGCTACTTTGTCGCCTTCACACTTTTCGAGTGGCCACAGCGGCCACCAGCATGTCGGCTGAGAATGGATTCTGCACCCCTCTCTCTCTCTCTCTCTCTCTCTCTCTCTCTCTCTCTCTCTCTCTCTCTCTCTCTCTCTCTCTCTCTCTCTCTCTGAGAGCTCCAGCTCCCCAGTTGCCGTGTAGGCGTTGAGGTCATTCTCGCGTATCGTCTGACCACAGCAGTGAAAATATTGATCTCGGAGCGAGTGGGAGGAAGGAATGAGGAAGTAGTTCTGATACATCAGCACATTGTCTTTTTTTGTATCAGGCCAACCATGAAATGGAATGACCGTGTGACAGGAAGTGCACAAGCCCTTATATCAGTTCTGCTACTCTTTGCTGTACTAGATCATATGGTTATCCATTTTATGCCTATGCAATGGTAATAATAATAAGCATAAGATAACTGCTGCATTTTTTTGCAGATTATTTTTTTTCATTCTTCAACACTAATTTAATAAATTCATCCATTTCATCCACAAAGGCTTTCTTGTAGTACAGGAGGCCTTACTTTTTAGCCTACGGTGTACGCAGAGGGAGGCTTATTCATATTGAGAAAGAGGTTCGCTCAAGCGTTTTACTTTGAAATCTATATTTATCCAGCTTGATGCCTTTACGAAAAGAAAATACTTTAGTATCAAAGAAGCAAGACACAATGCCTCTTCATTACCCCCCAAATCGACCCGCAGGGCACGCTGTGTGTTGCTCTGGAGCGCGGGGCGGGGCGAGACAAATATAGAAACCAAACGGAGAAGAGATGTTTTTCACGCTTCTATTTGTTGTGTGTGCAGAAGGCGAGGATGGTGTGTGTGTGTGTGTGTGTGTGCGATCGAGATCCCCGGGATGCTGACGTACGGATCGGTACGTGGGCCCTCAGGGCCGGCTGGGGCAGAAGGACAACTCTAGCAGGTTCACAGTGGCAATGTGCATCAGTCTTGTGTTGATTTTGGCTCCGTTGCTGCAGCTTGGCGGCCGGTGCGTTGCTGCAAACTGCAGCTGCTCCTGCCAGTAAGTAAGTAACGAGCGTCAGAGGCTTTGTTGCTGATTGCTGCTCCGTAAAGAAGCATCTAAGGTTGAAATGTATTTCAGATTCTTTTAGAAGAGAGCTGCGAGGAAGAAGTTTCGGAAATTTGCTTTTGGCTTGCAAAATTCTAAAACTCTCAATTTCAATCAATCTCAATTTCATTTATTTTATTTTAGGCCTACACAGACCTGGACAAAATGTGCCAAGCAAGGATTGCTTCAGAAAATACTCTTATGTTACAACAAAAAGCTTAAAGTCTTAAACTCTAACAGGATTGCATTGGATCTTTTTCCTAAAGTGTCGCAATTATTTTTCATCAAGTCTGGCTCATGTGGAAAACTAGAAATAACGTGACCAATGAGCTCAATGTGCAATATTCCTTTCATTATATCAGTCACCATTGTATCAGCGGGGCGCCCCCTGAAATGACCCCCCGCCTCCCAAAGAAAGTGTGGAATTTAGAAACACGGAAGCTCCGCCCCGCCGCGGGCGCCCAAATGTCCGTGTGTGCGCCCACGTGGCGCTTGCACCTGCCGACGGTCCTGATGCGGGATGAGCACTTTACCACCAGAGAGAGAGAGAGAGGCGTGTGCACGAGGGGGATCGAGGGGGGGGGGGGGCCAAGACAGAAATGCAAATGCTTGGCCGTGAATTCACCACCGGCGTCGACGTGCACTCTGTCATCCCGCGGCCTCGCTGCTTAACTGGGTCTCGCGGTGAAGCGGTTAAATATAGCCGTCCCTTGCGTACCGGCGGCTGGTGGGTGACGAGGGGGGGGTGGCGGGGAGGGGGAGGGGAGAAACCATCGCAAGGTCGCGGCGTCTCCTTCCCCCCGTTTGGTTTTTTTCCCAGCCGCGGGGTTGTGCCTGAAGATGCCATCCAACCGATCTAGGCTACCTGATATCAAATAAAGTCATCAACCCCCTCTGCCCCCCTATCTGTTTTTTTTACGTAAAGCTGGCAGCCCGCGGCTGATGTTTTACAGCTTCCGCCCCCCCCTGTCACGCCTTGCAGAGCGGCGCGAAGAGCGAGCGCGCCTGGAAGCGTAGGTCGTTACTTATTCATGTGTCTGCATGCAGATGTCAGGCTGAGATGAGAAACCGAAGGGGGGGGGGGGGCTCCCGCCTCCTCGCCGGGGCCGCGCTCCTAATGAGGAAACTCGAGCCGTTTGCTCCACTCGGGGAGAGATTGACATCTAGATTTGCTCCTCGCTGAGTAGTAATTTCAATTCTGTCATGAGTAGGCACCTCGCGTCATCCCCCGAGGAGCGGCCGCTTACACCAGGTGACGCCACAGGCCGCCGCCGCCGTGTGTCGCTTGGCGGGAAAGAAAAGAAAGCTGCCGCCGCCTGCGGTCGTCTGAGCGAGTTCAGGGTCCCCGGGGGGGTCTGGCCCCCCTCACTCCCCCTCTCCCCGGCCTTGTGCATCCAGGTACAAGCAAGAGCGGGGAGTCGTGCTCCTCCTGCTCTTTTGTTTGACTTCCTGCGCTCCTCAGAGTGCGGGGGGGCGCTGCTCCTCTCATCCCTGCCAAGTTCTTCCCCCCCCCCGGCTGTCTTCCTCTGGGCCTTTGTTGTGCCTCCGCAGCGTCGCTCGCCGCCTAAAGCTGCGGATCCCTGGTGCGCGCTGATACCGCTGCTGGTGGATCTGGACGTGATGTGCTTATCACAGGGTTTGCCATCACCTGGGGGCCGGCGGGGGCCCGTCTCATTGTTGATCCCCCAACTGTGAAGAAACACTTGATGTGGTGTCGTGTCAGGGAGAGAAACCAGCGCAGCTTTTCTTTTCATTTCTCTAATTTTCGTTCCAAATTCAGAGTGTCCATATCGCTGGCACATGTATTACTGGTAATTCCTTTGTTCCCCCGGCCCACGGAGGACGCCGGTAGTTGCAGGCGTGGATATTCACGGCCCCCCCCCCCCCCCTTTCAACCGAAATGATCTGACACCGACTTGGAGTCACTGCCTCCCAACCCCCTCAATCTGTCATACTGGCATCTATCCAGCTGCGTAGGGACAGATGGGAAAGGGACGTCTTTCTCGGAGCACCTTTCCCTCTCTGCTTGGGAATGCGCTGCGTGTGAGATGCAAGGCGGAGGCTCACCGGGCGGCGCTCTCGCGCCATCTGGCGGTGGTGGAGCTTTAGGCGCTGCCTCGCAGTGAAAGGGTACGGCCATGCAATGATTCAACTTGCGCGTTCTCCCGTGTGCGCTTGAACTTCGCCATAACCCTTGATGAATATTCTTAATGGTTTGCATATTAATACATTTAATTGACAAAAAAGGTATTCTTATGTGTGCAATAAAATGAGGAGGTTTTTCATGGGAATGTCTGTTTTTACACAACTATTTTTTTGGAGCTTTCTCTGTAAACACTAGAGATGGTTGTGTGTGAGAATCCAGTTGTTTCTGATTTACACAGACGAGCTCGTCTAACAACCCTGCCACGTTCAGAGAAATTTGAACGTCCTTCTTGGCTCTGATTGGCTGACCAATCTGTGTCATCAAGCGATGGAACAAGTGTGCCAAAATAAAGTGGCCGGTGCATTCTTATAATTATTGAAATATGAAAAGATAGTGGATTTTTACCAGATGACAACGACATGCATCTTTTCGGTGACGTATTCAGGTGCAGCTGATGTTGCTTCTTCGGGAGCCACTCACTAGCAATAAACTCAGAATATATCTTTAGGCCTGATTTAATTCATCAAATAGTAATTATGTTTTCATATAAAAATATATTCAATTAGAATCTCCAGCATTATTTCAACGGGATGAACAGTATTTTGCACATGACCGCTTATTTCACGCAACATTAATTAGTACTCGCTAACCAAATAAACACAAATTACCGAGACATAATGCGTGGTCTGTTCTGCCTCTTTGTCACAGGTGAAGCTGCCTTTTCCCGTCGATCAAATCACGAATCTTCCACGGAACGACTTCCAAATGTTGGTGAAAATGCACAAACTGACCTCGGAGCAGCTCGAGTTCATCCACGACGTGCGCCGGCGGAGCAAGAACCGCATCGCGGCGCAGCGCTGCCGCAAGAGAAAGCTCGACTGCATCATGAACTTGGAGTGTGAGATCAGGAAACTGGTGAGCCGATCGCCAGCGAGCTCCCACTTTGCCGCAGAAGCTGAGACGTTTTAATGTCCACTTCTGGACTAACATCTAAGCCGTCTTCTTCTGTGTGCGTCCAGGTGTGCGAGAAGGAGAAGCTGCTGACCGAGAGGAACCAGCTGAAGGCGTGCATGGGCGAGCTGTGGGAGAACTTCTCCTGCCTGTCGCAAGAGGTGTGCCGGGACGTCCAGCTGAGCCCCGAGCAGGTCCAGTCCCTGCACCACTACTGCCCCGTGCTGCGGCCCGGCCACGAGGCCAAGCCCGCCAACGCCACCACCAACAACAACTCCGCCGGCGCCGCCGGCGCCATCACCAACAACACCACCAGCATCGACCTCACCGGCCGCTCGGCCTCGGCCACGCCGGAGCCCAGCTTCCACGGGTCGCCCGGCGGCCCCCCCTCGGAGAGCGAGCCCGACTCGAGCGTCGGGAACGGGCCGGTCGACGGGGACATGGAGGGCCGCAACGCCGGCCCGTTCGCAAAGTCGGGGCTTTCCCCCAACCAGGCGGTAACGGTGGATTTTTGCCAGGAAATGACTGACAAATGCACAACCGACGAGCCGCCAAGGACGGACTAAGTAGCGGCGGTTCTCCAGGTCGTCGTGTGTCTATATATATATTTTGTATTATTATTTAATTTTACTCTTCTGACAAACCCCCCCCCCTCTCTCTCGGGGGGTTGCTGAAACAGTCAGCCTTCTGCCAGTGTTCACTGGAAAAAAAAAAAAAAAACAAGCTTTGTTTGTATTTATGTCGTTTTGTGCTGTCTTTTTATTTTGTTTTGTTTTTTTCACAACGGTCGACACTAAAGTTGTCTTAACAGCAGCAATACTGTTCTCCAGGTATTCTCCTCTTACCATGACGGAGTGGGAACTTCTCACCAAAACACGTACAATGGTGCTATTGTCGCCCCCCCCCCCCCCCCGACAGCAACCTCCACGGCGGGGAACCTTGTTCTCTGCGAGTCACAACTCAAAGTCAAACCTCATCGGACCTAAACAGCAGCTCTCTTTGTGTTTCTATTGTGTACCGACAGTATCTCTGTTCCTGCCTTCTCTCTTTGCAGCCCCCCCCGTCCCACTCTGTCGATCTTCTCTACCTCTCCCTGTCTCAGTTCTGTCTCTCTCTCTCTCTCTCTCTTGGTTTCTACTCCCGCTATATCTCAGTGACCCTTTTGGTCACAGCAATTCAAACTCAGGAAAACAGAAACAACAACAATGACGAAAAAAAAGAAAAAAAGAATGAAATCGTTTGAATGTTCAACCTAATTCATGAAAAATGAGAACTCAGCTTCTGCACACACACACACACACATACACACACACACGGGGAAGTCCAGATGCAGCCAGTCGGTGTAATATTCATATGCAAAACATAACAGAAAACCAATACAGGAACAGCTCTCCACGCGTCTGGCATTTGTTGTTCCGTGCGGGAGAACTTTGTACCGGCTGTAACCGAAAACATTCCTCCTTTGCCTTCCTCAGCACTGAATTGAAAGGAAAAAGGTTTTTTTTTTGTTGTTGTTTTTTTGCAGACGGTTTAATGGCAACTTTTTTTACTACCCACTCATCAGCAATACCATTGTATTTGGATGTTGTACCGGTGACTTTCAAGTGCTTATTTGGCAGAAATGTATATAGTATGGAGCATGATGACTGTAACAGTGGTTTTGTACAGGTAGAGGCTCAGATGTTTCTTCGTTTTTTTCTTTTTTGGTTCCACGGGGTTTTACCGAGCACCTTTTTTCTTTTTTTTTTCGCTGGGGGGAAAATTGTTGCTTTTTTTTTGCTGTTTCCTGTCCTGCCTAACGAACGCCCCACCCGTCAAGGTGAGCGTTCTTATACTCAGGAAACCGGCCACATGCGCATACACACGTGCAGCACACACACACACACACGCGCGTCAACACACGTGTACAATTCTGGAGCCCCGTGCATGTTTAAAAGTGTGACATTCAAGACTCTTCTTTAAATGTGACTTCTGCCTTGTGTTGTTCAGGATGAAAATTTCATTTCGTCAGTATTTCAATGCGTTATTTGTGTTTACGCTCTCGGGAAAGAAAGCGCAGCCAACATATAAGCGACGGGTGCTTTCAAGATTGCATCCCGAAAAAAAATGAACATAAAATATTGATTGAATCAGGCACTTTGTTTCCGGGCCCCGGGGCACTCAGAGCCATTTAGCACTTCAACAGGGAGTCTTCGTCTTTGTGTCGGACCCCTTAAAAAGTCTCAGACTAGAGCACTTAGATTGGCACTTCGTCTCGTGGATATTACACAATTACTCCAAAAAAATGTCTCTATGAAGTAACCGTGTCTGAAACCCTAAACGTCAAAAGAAGCTAACGTTTCAGTGTAGGAGTGTTCACATCTTATATTTCTTTCTTTCTTTAGGAATCCAATAAGCTAACTTGACGTGAAAGCAGTGTATGTGTCGTCCAAATGATTGAGTAACAATCATATTAAGATATAACACGTTTTTTGCCCTAACTGTGCATTTGTTTGAGCATCAGCCAGTGTGATGTGCATGCGTGATGCCTATAGCCGTAGGCCTAGTTAGTTTATGCCACGTAAGCGCCCTCCGGACTTTTTAAAAAGCCATCTTTTTTCTTTTGATGAATTTCTATGTACGAACAGGCGAGACAAGCTGAGTCATCTTGGGCCTTGCAGGCTTCTTGCATCGCAAACTGGTTGGATTCAATTGGAATGTGAAGCTTTTTTCATCCCTCTCTTTTTAAAGCCCCAATCCAAAATGGCGTCGCTCCCCTCCCTCGTTTGAGAACACAAACTAATGCCGCTGCTTCGCTAGCGTTGTGTACGTCTGCGTCATCTCAATTGTCATTCAAAGAGGTGTGATTTTAAAGTTTACAATCCTCGCTATACTTTACTGTACACACCGGGGGCATGACGAACACATGGCCGCCCAATCCGTCGGCCAAATATTTCCTGGATTGGGGCTTTAAAGTCTGGATGAAATGTTTGGAAATGTTTTCCCCTTGACTTTAATTAATGTAAATTTAAGATGTGGTTTCAAATTTGACGTCTCGTGTGAGACCGATTCTGTTATGCAGCCGAAAGGACTAAGTGTATTTTAAAAACGACTGGTAAAAAGACCCATACATGCACACACACACACACACGGAGGTATTCATACAACGCACACACACACACACAGTACATAGCGCGGAGCAGTAGCTGGTTTTTTTTTGTGTGAAGATCCAAGTTCTTGCCAAAAAACTGAAGCTTTTTTTCTGCAAACGTTATGCAACTATTTTTTCTATTTGCGTACATTTTCATAAGCTTGATCTTAAATGGAGAAAGCCCTCTTGATGAATGTGTGTTGTAGCAAAGCTCTTGCCCCCTGGGTGTCTCCTAAGATTTCCTACCAACACCACGACGACCACCTTCTTGTTTTTGCATATAGCATCATTTCTTTCAAAGCTGTGGAATGTTGTTAATTCACCGTAACAAACCCTTTACATGCCTGCAGAGCTACGATGGCCGAGTCCTGCTCGCGTGCCCCAACACCGACGGCACCCTTAGTGCCCCGAGAGGCCTCCCTCCACGACACGTTGTTAGGAAAGGGTCACTTCACGGTGAAGACATGAAAGCTCTCACTTACGTCTCGTGGCGTCTGGTCATGCGGCGATTTTGGCTTTTATTTGGTGCAGGTGTATTGCCCATAACACGGTGGAGGGATATTCTTTGTAAAGCTTCTCCATTTTTGGTGCAGAACTGTCCTTTTTTCGTCAGGCAATTTTAAAACGTTAGTGAATACAACCAACCCCACATGCATGGCTAGATAGCAATAAAGGTTAAGCGAGATGATATGGTGGTTTTTTTTCGTTATCATTTAGGGTGAACCTTTCCTACGGAGTCACTCTTGAGCAGATTCTTTTGGGACAAACTGGGTTTGAGTCGAGCAAAACAGCCCTTAAGAAATGATTTGTTAGCATTACTTAAAGCTGCATTAATAGATTTTTTTGAGGGGAGCACTTTTGGGCAGTAGACAAAGATCTGCTCTTCTTTTAGCTTGGTTTTGGTCTCCACCAACTCCTGAGAAAAATATTGATGCCGGTTGAAAACAACATTGAGCTAGAAGATGAGCAGTTACTTGCTATGGCAACCTGTTTCTTTCAATACAAATATTGATTAGTGCAGCTTTAAAAGGATGTATCAGTAGGCGTGAACACCTAAATTGTCGTCCTCCAGGTTCCTTTTTTGGTTATAGCCATTACAGCGGATTGCACGTACCTTTTTGCAGTGTATTTGTCTATTTTTTAGTTAAACTTTTGTTGCTGCTGCTTCTCTGAAACAAAAACACTGGCTTTTCAACTCCAAAGGTTGTTCTATTAAAGAATATGAACAAAAACATGCCTTCTTTCACAGATGCTCAACTGTATTAAAAAGAAGAAGATCTGCTATCCTTATTAAATGCGCAGCCTGAGATCATCGAGTAAACTATAAAAAACAGGAAAATGTTTACAAATAGGTGTCATTTGATGTTTGATACATTTTTTTTTTCCATTTAAAAATCGCTCGGTTAAATTGAACTGGTTCTTCTTGTTGTGTTAAGAGACAAACAAGCTCTTGGGATGGGTCAACATTATTTGGATACAAGTGCACCTCCGATATTTGCCTTAGAACTTGCAGAGGCCATAGTTCACATTCAAGTGAAGTGAGTGTATGCAGGGGCCTGGGCCCCCGACCCCAAGTCACCAGTGCGGACTTTCTCACACTTATCTACCTGTGAAATCCTTCATACCTCTCATAACTGGTCAATGACTGTATCAGCAAACTGCATCAGGTGTTTTTTCTACATGCTTTTTACACAGATTATATGGATTATTGTATTAGTAGTTTTTGGTGCTTCTTTTTTTAATGTAATAGCTCTTAAAAGCTCGTAGTTCAAGTGGTCGTTTTTTTTTTTTTCTTTCATTTTTCTAGATGATTGTTTTGTGTTAATATTGTCAATTTGAAATAGCTGTTATTTGCTTATTCTCTACTAAGAGTTCTTACCTTTATCATTTGAAATGCTACATGACCCTAATTAATTAAAATGACTTAATAACCATTGTAAATACGGTATTGTGCAAAACCCATTTTCATTCATTTCAATTGCTAGTGTTGTATAAATGACCTTTTTGTCTAGACACCATTTCTCTTTATGAAATAAAGAAACAATGCATATCACCTTCGGTGTCTTGAGGCTGTTTTTTGCAAAGACATGAGTCTTCAGAAGGATATCTGTGGCCCAACACCACCGGCCCCCCTGAACCTCAAGCCCTGAACCCCCAGGGGCCGACGGACTGAGTGAGAGTCCCGTAAGGACTTGCAATGGCCTAGATACGAATGGGAAAGCAACTATTCCATCACCATGACAACGTGAAATGAATATGATGTGCAATGGTGGGTATTAATCTTTTTAGTAATGTTGCAGGCACTGAACAATGCGCTAAAGGCAGCTGTCAGGGAGCACATTCACTTTGTTTACTTTGTTCACCGACTACACAAGCTGACTAACTTGAGAGGAGATGCAGAGATTGATGGCAGCTGGTTAAAGGGGCGTTGGTTCCAAAGATCTTCCTCATTGGCCACAGACAGCAGGTGACTAGAGGTCATTGAAGGTCACGGGCGGAAAGCAAACCGGCTGGTCTGTCGGTATTTTTCCCCACTGTCCTGGAAGTCATCTTCTTTCCTCAATGGTTGTCTGGAGGGAATAGTAGACGTCCTCATGTGCTTGGTCCGTTTTCATTTTACCCATCATGCCAAAGAGAAGGAAATATTTTGGACAATTGTTTTTTCAGAGGGCGACCAAGTAGCTGACTTGACTGTGTCCAGGCGGCGGCAGTGGCTGGTTAAAAACACACTGTATCTTTACAGTATAAAAGGGAATTCTCACACTCAAGACAAAATGTATTGGCCCTGCTGAAGAGGAAAACATCTGTAATAGAAAAAAACAAACCTTCCGCAATAAAAGCTTAAATTAGTGAGATATAATCAAAGAAGGATATCGGGCTTCCCCCAGCATCCCACGCTTTCTGTATGACAAACCGTAAACGTGCGATACGTTTCCTCACCTTTTTCTTTTGGTTCTGTCGGTTGCCAATTCCACAATCTTTATTTACAATCTTTAAGTCGAATAACTTTGCAGCCGATTTTTCAGTCAAGTAATTTCAGTCACTTAGCAAGGTGCTCGCAAACTGTTAATTAAAAACTATTTAGGCGCTGGAGACATCAAACAACAACAACAACAACACACAAACAAACTCTCATCCCAACTGCAGACACAAAGGTTTAGTTGAGGGACGGGATGAGGCTCCCTTTGCAAGCAGGATCCGTCGCTCCACTGCAACTCTTGTTTTCCTCTTGCTTGCTCCCAAAACGGGTCATTTTCCATTTATTTCTTCATGATGGAAGACAGCTCCAATATCATGCTCTGAAAGAAAGAAAGCCATACAAGCAATGCATGGTTAATATTCATAATATCACAGACATAAATGCATTTCTCTAGCAGCTGCTGAACATCTGATTTTCTCTTGGACCCCCAGTGGACTCACTTTTCCCCCCTTGCCACGGCGATGTGGCCGTTTACTCCTTTCAGGGAGTCATGACATCACTGGTGGGTGTGGTTACAGGTTCATCAGTAAAATTTCAGTAAAAATCAGTAAAAAAAAACTTAAATTACCGCTGTGTTTTGAGGCATGTTACATGGTATATTTTTGTTTTATCCCAGCTCATCTAAGTTATTTGAAATAGGCAGAGATCCACACGTTGTTAGTTTTTGGAGCTTGTTCTCTAAATGAGATGAAAGTATTATAAAATATATTTAACATTGAAATGCACTTTGCTCGTGGTTGATGCATTTTGATATTGAGTGACAAGAGAGTTAATCTGTCAAGTAACCGTGTGGGACTAATGTGCGCTGATGTTCCATTGCCGTAAACATTAATGCGCATCACTAACTTTGTTTCTTCCACGGAGTATTTGTGCTTTCTCGCTGCACAGGTTTCAATGGATTATTATTATTATCTCAACCCTTTTCATGCCTCCTGCCGTGGCCCTGCTGACACCTGCTGCTGCTATCGTCATCATCATTATTATTATTTTAAATATTAATCATATTACTATTACTGTCATCATAAACCAACATTACCCTCTGTGCTTTCCCTCCCCACAGGCTTCTGTGGATGGTGGTTCTATCTGATGGTGGTTCTATCTCATGGTGGTTCTATCTCATGGTGGTTCTATCTGATGGTGGTTGCCCCTGTGTGTGGCAGTGGTCCTGCCACACACCTTGCTTACTACTCGCAATCATTTCTGTTATAGCAATTGAATGTATTGTACATCTTTTAGTCGTATTGTAGGGATCCCTCCTCTCCCACGTTCTCCCGAAGGTTTCTTCTTCCCTTCCTTTCTTCCCCATGGGAGGGTTTTTCCTGTGCCGATGTGAGGGTTTCGGGACAGAGGATGTCCCATGTGTACAGACTGTAAAGGGCAAATTTATAATTTGCGATTTTGGGCTACACAAAATAAACTGAATTGAATTGAAGCTATTTTGATATCAAATTAGAGAGCAAAAAGTATGAAATAATCGTTTGCACTTCTCATGGTTCCTGTCCCATTCATATTTACACCATTTCAAACCCCTACAGACTCTCACACTCAACCCTTTACCGGGGGATGTCAGGTCAGTCCCTGAGTGTTCAGGGGGAACATTGGGATTGGCCCCCGCAGAGTCCAACCAAAATATCAAATGAAACATTTAAAAAATGTATTTAGGAATGTATGTTGAATGTTGGGTTTTCAGCCTTTAAAGGACATTGCGACTAAAAGAATAGAGGACCCAAGGTTTCTTCAAAGCAGCTGAAAATCACATTTTTTTCCAACCTCCAGTGGTTTAACTTATCAACGCGCAGCAGTGATGTCCAGTTGACCTATGAGGCGTGTCACTGGGACATTACTGGTGGGTCTGACAGGTACAGGTGCCCACCAGCACACTTTTAACACTCATCAATACAGAAAAACTTTAAAACTATTAAAGAGGCCATTCATTCAATTCATATGTTTTTTGGAGTTTGTATACGTCTAAATAAAGATAAATAATGTAGCATAAAACGTAGCAGTTTACTTTTTATGTGTGACTTTACTTTGTTATGATTGCCTTTTCAGTGGCGTCCAGCAGAGGGAAACAAAGCACCGCCCTTAGTTTAGACAAGGGAGATCTTTCTCTTTTAGAAATGGAGATGCCCAAATCACATCAAGTGAGTCGTGTTCTACCTCCTTTGTTTGATTTGTTTTAATTTAGGCATTTTCAATCTTCCACTGAGTGAGAGATTGAATTTCAGCAATGTCTCAAAGTTACACTTTACTGGTGACTAATACTTCATGTACTCATTATCAGAAAGTTGTTTTCATTTTTACACAATGGAGTTTCTTTCATACCTATAGATTGATGGATAGATTGAACTAATAGATATCACAGATAACATATGATTGAAATGTTGGTTACTAACAGTGAAGCAATTTTTTTTTACGTTAAAAGCTTTTTTAAAGAATTTGTTAAATATGCAAATAGGCCATTGTTTAGCCATTGTGAAGAGAAACCTGAAGAGATTAAGCCAGGTTCAAAATTGTCGTTCAATTTCCTGAAAAATTGCAGTAAAGTATTTTTCACAAAGATCATTTTTTATACATATTTTGTAAAACATTTTAAATAATTCAAGCTAGAAATGAAACATGGACAAACCCCTTCATGAAAACCTTTAAAAACCTTTGGAAAGTATCCAGTTGTCTGTGCGTGAGTGCTGTGAGATTTTTCCAATGACATCTCAGCTCAGAGACCGAGAAAAAAACTAATTTTGCCAATAGACACTTTTAAACATCCATCCATCTGCTCACAGGGTCGCTGGAGTCCATCCGAGCCAACTTTGATAGACAAGGTACACCCTGGACTGGTCACCAGCCAATCGCAGGGCTAACACAGAGACACACAACCATTCACATCCACACACCTACAGGCAGTCCTGATCCCCAGAGCATGTCTTTGGAGTGTGGGAGGAAGCCGGAGAACCCGGAGAGAACCCACGCAGACACGGGGAGAACATGCAGACTCCACACAGAAAGGCCTCTGGACCCAGGACCTTCTTGCTGTGAGGCGACGGTGCGAACCACCACACCACCGTGCCGCCCAGACTTTTAAACACATGTACTGTAAAATGACCTTCACTCTAATTTGGCTTTTTCTATATGTGTATTTGGGATAGAGGTCATGTTAATAACTACAAAATCTCAAAGGGAATCACTGCGTGGTTCCTCCGCCAGAGTGCATACGAAATAGACGTGTAAAAAAGTGCCTGGCACGTTAAGGAATAAGTTGCTAAGTTGAAACAAACGTTATTTAAAAGAAAGATGAGTTATAAGCCTTTTGAATGTTTGAAAAAATGAAAAAAGGCCCATAACTCAGCCCCCCTTTGCGAGGCCCATTTAGTATCCTTGATCAGGGGCCACCAGACAAAACATGACTGGAAGACATTTGTTTTTGTTTTTTTTGCCCTCACCATGGACATCCTCCTCCCGCTCGACGGAGGTGGCGGTGTCACCGCCGGACTCTCCCCCTGGTTGAAGTGCTGGGCCTCGACGTCCCCTAAGCTGCGGGAGTCGGCGCTGTCGGACGAGGAGGCCAGCTTGCTCTCCGACATCCCGCGGGACATGAAGCTGCACTTCCTGCCCGTGGGGTGGTAGTCGCTCTCGGGCGAATCGCTCATGTCGCTCAGCTCCTTGCAGGCGCTCACCTTGCTGTGCTTCCTCTGCGGGTTCCTCAGGGCAGCCGGGATCTCCATGTGGCCGGCACTCAGGGTGGGCCGGGGCCCCGCGTACTGCGGCCGGCCCGGGGCTCCTCGGCCTCCGGTGGACTCGTCGCTGCTGCACGAGGGCGCCCGGTGGGCCGGGCCCTCCTTGCACTGGGGGTCCGAAGGCTTCCTGTGAGCGTCCGACACCCGGGGGCAGGACATGTGCGTGAGCTGCATCAGCCTCTGCGGCGAGGAGTTGTTGAGCACGCACGCCTGCTGCACCGTGGAGTTCTTCTTCGACCTGCACACGCTGTCGTCGTCCCCGTATTTGTATCCGTACAGGCTCTGTTTGATCTTCTTCACCCCCAGGTGGAAGATCTCCAGGAGGTTGAGGAACAAAGAGACCCCGGCGATGACCAGCATGAAAACCATGAAAATGTTCTTCTCCGTCGGCCGCGACACGAAACAATCCACGCTGTTGGGGCAAGGCAACCGCTCGCATTTGTAGAGGGGAGACAGCCCGATGCCGTACAGAGCGCACTGGCCAATGATGAAGCCCACCTCCACGACGGACCTGGTCAGGATGTGGAAAACGTAGGTGCGCAGCAGCGAGCCCCTGAGGGGCGCCTTCCTCACCTTCTTCTGCTCGTCCAGCTTCCTGAGCTCCCGCTCGATCCTACGGTGGTCCTCCTGGACGGGGTCCGTCCCCTCCAGCTCGGCTTTTAGGGAGGCCTTCTTCCTGTGCCTCTCCTTATCCAGGGTCCTCAGGCGGTACAGCGCGTGGCCCATGTAGACCAGGGACGGGGAGGACACGAAGATGACCTGCAGCACCCAGTAGCGGATGAGGGAGATGGGGAAAGCCTGGTCGTAGCAGACGGTCTTGCAGCCGGGCTGCTCCGTGTTGCAGACGAACTCGGTCTGCTCGTCGTCCCACACGTCCTCGGCGGCCACGCCGAGCACCAGCATGCGGAAGATGAAGAGGATGGTGAGCCAGATCTTTCCCACGATGGTGGAGTGAATGTGGACCTCTTCTAAGATGCTCCCTAATAAGTTCCAATCGCCCATCTTCATTCACATAGTTAGGCCTATGCGCCGGCGGATAAACGGTCGTTTGGAGGGGTTTTTTCTTTAAAGAAATTCAGGGAAAATAGGTTTGCTTACATGTTTGCTGAGGTCCTCGTCGCACGCGCTCCAGCGTGGAGCCGCAGACTCATTAGTGGAGACATGGCGGCTCACAGGGAGGGAGCTGGCACTATTTTCGCAAACTAGAACCCCAGTTAAACCAATTGATCGTGTACAGGGGCCGCGAACGCCCCGAGGTTAGTTTCGCCCCGACACTTTTAACAGGACAGAACACTGGAAATTACAGAGATGTCAATACACATCATGTGCAGTGTGTCCTGCGCTCATCCTTTGGAAGGCACAACAGCGGGCTTTCGACCCGTTACGTCGGTGGCTTTTTGTCCCGTTTTAGACGGGGCCACAAAGAAAGGGTTTTCCTATTTAGTCGTGAAGAACTTGGAACATGAAAAAGCTCACATTTTATGGCTTGAATTTGATCTGTGCAATCAATGATAGCGACAGTTATGTGTGTGATTGAGGCTTTTAGACAAATACGGATATTTAGCGTGGAGAGAAAACGGCAAACGTCTGCCCGGAATCTGGCACGATGAGCTCCAGCAGGCCTCACAAATCCATTTGACTGGCTGCTCTGCTGGAGACAGAAGCCCCGGAGCACTGGCCTCGATTTTACAAACTTTGCGGCCCACTTCAGGAATATTTATGTCATGGCGACACAGTTCATGCTGCTCGCCAAAATTATTTTATTCCACTAATTTAAAAACACTAACTTCAAATATGGTGTGGTTAATTTATTTTCTAGTGAATAACAATTTAAAAAAAGAACAAAACAGACAGCGGCATAAATAAATAAAACTTTATTTTCAGTAAAGAACCACACACAATATTGCATTCCATTCTGTTCACAAGCAATAGGGTGAATCAAACAAAAAGCCACTAAAACGTTTGTATTAACAGATAAATGTAATGTCCTGTACATGGATTTGACATGTAAACATTTCAACAACTTCCAAATATTTCGGGCACTCGTCCACCCCCAGTATACAAATACATCCAGTAAAATAAGATACAAGGCAGACTACTGTCAACCCTTCAATGCATCCATCAGTCCCACAGCTCCACCTCTACCAGCGGCGTGATGCAAAGAAAATCCGGGGGAACTTGAACCTGGAAGTATCGCGGTCCGAAGGCAGTTCCTCTTGAGAAGAACACGAGTGGACGACTAATTGAGGCTTCCATTGTTGTGACGCATCGCATCTCCACGGCGTTCAGACGCTCAGTTGAGGACAACGTGACTTCAGATCTGGACTTGTTGTGGTGAAAGCGCTGTGGGTGAAAAACAGTAATACTGATGACCGTTCACAACCCTCTGGCTCGTCAGTTGTTCCCTTCTTTTCCATATCCGGTCTTGGGTCGCTGTCCAGAACACATTACTTCTGGTCAGCGACTGAAATTAAGACTTGTGTTTGGAAAAACAGAGCCAAGCTAATGTTTGTGTCGGCGGGACGGTGCAGGGCTCCGGGTCATGACAGACCCCCCCCCACTTTCCTCCGGCTTCTTGTCACATGAACAGCACGAGTGTGCACGTGGGGACTCTTTGAAACGAGGACTCACGGGTCCATCTTCTCCTGCTTCTTAAAAAGCTTCATGAGCTGGTTGAATCTGTGGGCGATCTGGTGACGGAGAGAAACAAAAGGAAGGAGTCATTCAACGATCCTCCATCGCATAACGACGACAAAAAGCAAAGCAGGTGAACTTACCTGCTCCGACGGCTTATTGAGTTTCTCTGACAAGCCAGAGAAAGTCTCCCGTGAGGCCCCTTTAGTCCTCAGACCGATGAGAATGGCTCGGTCTTCCTCTCTGGGGGGGGGATACAAGTCATGAGCAATTTCCTTTCGGGGACTATGTGCGTCACAAAAGATTTTACCAACTACTTTTACCAACAGAATGGGTTGTTAAGTGGCTCGTATTTTACCATTAGGCGCGAACACAATACTACCAGCGTGTCTTTACATGGAAGCATAATCCCTGCAAGTACAATTGTACAAAAACAGTACTATAAATGCTCCCTTTCACAGTTTCCATTGTTTATTATTGGGTTACTAGCACACAAATAAATGTAGTGGAGTAGAAGGTCAAATGTATCCTTCTGAAAGTAGAAATTAACATGCATGTGTACACTTAAAACACAGCACCAGTATGTTGTTTTGTATAATTTCTAAATATCATATTTGACCTGAAATGTAGCAAGAACGTGTCAAAATGACCGGAAAAAACAATGGGTCACAAATTCCTAAGGACGGGGAGCGCTAACTGACCTGGTCCACGCCATCACCACCTCGCCCTTCTTCCTGATGACGTTCTTGGCATGAAGGCTGTTGGGGGACAGAGGCGCCGGGAAGGATTTGGATTCGCCGTCGTCTCTCCTGCAGTCGGAGGCGACCTCCCCCGCACTCTCCTGCTCCTGCTCCTCCTCCCTCCGTGACCGCTTAGCTTTGGAGTTCTCTTGGCGCTTCCGCCGCTTCTTGCCTTTGTCCTTTCCATTGTTCTCTGGCTGGCAGAGTTCAGAGTCCCGTGCGGCGGCGGCGCTTTGGGAGTCAGAGGCGTGCGCCGCCGCCTGGTGCTCTTGGTCATTTTCAAGGCTTTCATCGGGTCGGCCGTTATCTATTGCCGTTTTTGAGGAGCTGGTCCCGTCTCGACATCCCGAGGAGTCCACTTTTGAGGGACTCTGTTGAGTCGGCGGTTCGTCTCTGTGACTCGCGTTCTCATCGCCAGGGACTGTGACGAGAACGCTGTTGTGCAAATCTGAAGTGGTTTTGGGCGGATTTTCCGTTTTCTGCGAACGCCAAGAAAGACGACCGTCTGAGGTGTTCCGTTGAGGGGATGAGCCTTTAGTTATTGTTGAGCCGCTATCGGACAGAGCACCAGTGGACTGAGGAACCGCTTTGGCTCGTCCGTCTTCCGTCTCCGCGTGGCCGTCCTCCGTCAGCGTCCGACTCAAGCTGTCCTCGGCGATGAGCGTGCTGTCCGCGCCGGGGGCCGCCGGGCAAATCTTCACAACAAAGTGGTCGTTGGACCGCTCCATCACCAGCGCCTGCATGGGCAGGTCGGGCTTGAACACGAACGGGGTGGCGAGCGCCTCGCCGCTGCCGCTGTTGGAGCAGCAGCTGGAGTTGTCCGTGTCGAGGGCCAGGTGGATGTCCTGCTCCGACGCGTCCTCCTCGTCCAGCAGGGCGTCCTCGCTGATGTGGGCGCTGATGACGCTGTCCGGGGTGGACATGAGGTGCACGCTCGACGGCTGCAGGAAGCTCAGGTGGCCGTCGGACTTGAGCGGCGACGGGATGGTGAGGGACACCGCCAGGTCCTCGGACAGGATGGAGTACGTCAGCTGCGCGGCCGCGCCGGACTGCGCCGCCACTCGGCTCCCCGTCGGCACTTCCAGGAGGCAGTTTTCGTCGAACACGGCCGGATTGAGGTGGAGCCGGCCTCTGGCCCGCGGGGACGCCCTGCGGGGGGAGATGCTGGACCACGTGGCTATGAGTTTGGAGGGCGTGTCGAACTTGATCGGGGACAGCAGTTTGGACGGCGAGTCGAATTTGGTCGGCGTGGCGATGCCGATGAGCCTCTCGCCGTCCTTCCTCGGCGTACCGAGGGGCCAGGACGCGGCGTCTCCGGCTGCGCCGCCGGCTTCCAGCAGGTCGGATCCCTGCAGGAGGCACTTGAAGATTTCTCCCATCTGAGTGTCCCGCACCAGGTTGAACGTCAGGCTGGAGGCCTGCTGCTCCGTGAGGAGCTCAAAGTCGGTTTTGTCGAGCGAGGCGCCGCTTTGAGAGACGACCAGCGACGACGCGTTACTCTTTTTGTCTGGGGTGGAGGGGCCGTTCCTCGCCGGGAGGAAGACGGCTACGGTTTGTGCATTTGTGTTGTTTGCGCAATGAAGCTCGGCATTTCGGTCTTTTTCCCCGTGCGTGATTCTGATGTCCTTCCCTCGGCTTCCCAGGCCCGTTTTGTACGGCGCGGCGGCGCGCGGTCCGGCTCGAGGCGCGCCGCCCGGAGGCGACCGCCCCTCCGTCTGCTGACACTGCGGCGGCTTCTTCGGCGGAGGCCTCCTCGGGCCTTTCTCTTTGGTGGTCGGCCCGCCGCCCCCGGCCGGTTTGCAGGCGCCCTTCAGGGCGGCGAGAATGTCCATAAACAGGTAGTCGACCTGGACGTCCACAAAGTCCCACAGCCGCTGCTTCAGATCGACCGCTTGCTGCTCAAAGATGCGTTTCACGATGCCGTTGTTGGACACTTTGCCGAACACGGACGCGATCAGCTTCTTCAGGACGGACTTCAGCTCGGCCGCCTGATCGCAAATTTGACCGAAATGAGCGCCGTCGACAAACTCTAGAAAAGACTCCTGGAAGTTGTCCATGACGCCGTAGAAGCTCTTCTTGGGAAACGTCTTGTGGAGCTTCATGTACTTCTTTCGGATCTCGGCGCGAACCGCCTTGAACGTCTCCATGACTTCCTCCGTGCAGGAAAAAGAGGCTTTGCTCGCCGCGGGACAGACCGTCTTAAAGCGTCTCTTTGGGCTCTGCGTCGCACACCTCCCTTCCGATTTCCTTCTTGACAGAGTGGCAGGACTCGGTTGGTTCGGGGCGGGCTGCGCCAACTTCGCCCTCTTGGCCGCCGGAGCGGCAGCGACCGCCTCCTCGCTCTCGCTCAGAATCTCGCCGTCCTCCAGCTCGGCTTCAGAGAGACTGGAGGGCGGGTCGGACGCCCCGTCCAGCGGGCTCGCAGCGTCGTGGTTTGCAGGAGAGCCCGGATACTTGTTTTCTTTGTTGACGTCTAACTTCTTCGAGTTGGCATCGGCGGGAGCGAGGGAGAAATCTGCACGGGAGAGAGAAGACAACGAAGGTTATCGAGGCAGCAGGATGAGATCTGTACCACGTGCTGATAATGTGCACATTTGAGAGTTTATTTAGTTCAAATAGATTTAATAATCAATAGATCCTGATCTAAAAGGTGGATTTTTTTAAAACAGAAGATATTCTAATCAACCAGTCAGAATACAAATGTCTCAATTTTAGGAGTTTCTGTGATGAATGGAATGGCCTTTCAGAGTTTGGCTCTACTAAAGTGGAGGTTGTGGCTCTCATTTGATCAAAATGATCATAACTCAAATGTGTCGTCTTATGACAATAATTGTTGGTACTTCCTAGTCTAATCCAGATTACCAGTCACCAGTTTGGCAGGAATAAAGAGCACAATACAAATTGTATGGATGGTTAAAAAAGGGACCAAAATCAAACTTGGAATCTGGTATATTCAATGCATTCTACTTTCATGTCCAAAACTACTGAAGTATTAAGAGACAGCGACGTTGTGCCCATAAGGCAACGGGCCTAAATCCAATGCAATCTTGCATGTGTGTGTACGAGCTGTACCTTTTTGAAGGCTCTTGACGTGACTCGGCTTGCCGAGCAGGTGGAGATGGCTCCTCTTGGTGATCCGTATTGGGCTCCTCAGAGGGCTGATGGCGTCGGGGATTCTCTTCAGATTGCTCAGCGTGTTCATCATGGAGTCCTCGTCGTGAAGCAGCGGCACAGAGCTGGAAGGCTCCGCCTTGTTTTCGCGACCCTTTTGAGGGGCGAAGCTCTTTTTTGGCGTGAAAGACAGGCCGCCGCGCTTCTCCGTCGCCGGCTCCCCCGTCGTGCTGCTGACTTTGGACACGCCGATGCAGCCCGCGGCCGCGCTGCCGTCGTTGCTGCTGCCGTCCTCGTTTGTCCGCGTCAGAACGTAAATGGCCTCAGGCAGACTCAGCCCTTCTCGCGGAACGGCGTCGAGGCTTATCGTACTGGATACAGCATCGGCTTCTTTGCGACCGTCCTGCACCGGGCAGGCGTCCCTCTTGTGGAGGGAAACTGAAGCGAGAGGGCAGTCCTGGGGCGGAGTGGGGGGGGGCACTCGCTCACTTTGGCGGTCAGCCTCCTCAGCGGCGGCATTTTCCCGCAACGACTCTTCTTCGGCAGAAGCCACACTTTTCCGTCTTGCGGTTTCCGGAGTACTGCACATCAGTTCCACGCTTGGCTCCGGCACAACGGGATCTCCAGCATCTCCGCCTCCGCCATTAGACTTTTGTGAAGAGCTGCCCGCGCGCTCTTCAGAGCGGCTCGCCGATGCATCTTCGTCCCCGTCCGCAGCTTCCGGAGGTCTGCCGTCTTGCAGCCGGCTGTCCGATGGCAGCTCGCTCTCGTGGATTCTTGAGGTTCCCGTTGCTTTGAGAGAACTGACCTGCGGTGGCATCGGTGTGAGCGGCGCCGTCCTCCGTTTCACCGCAGCCTCTGGGTTTTGGCTTGGCGCTGAGGTAGTTTGGGCTGAATTGCCGGCGAGCTGCTGGTCGGCAGCGAGAGCGTCACCCGGGCTTTCGTCCTTTTCCTGGACGGCTTTCGCATCCTTGCCGCTCTCGCGCGTCTTTTCTGCCAAATGGTCCAACCCTGCTTCTAACTCACTGCTGTTCACTTCGTCAATCACACACATGTCGTCGATGTCGGGCTGTGAGCCCTCATCGTCGGGCCTCTCTGCGAATACCTGTTCCGCTGGTGTGAGGTCACCTTTGTTGGCGTCGCAGGGCGGCCCTGGCTTCTTGATTGGCGAAAGGGTAAGGTTCAACGTTTCCATGAACCACAACTTCCTGTTTGGACTATTCTCCTCCAAAGGGCTTTTCTCAGTGGCGCTTTTCGGTTCTTCGGCAGATCCTTTCACGGCCCTGTGTGTCTTTTCTCGCCTCTCCTTCCTTCCGTCGTCCACTTTTACCAAGTCGCATTCTTTCGATCTTGTTTTCTCGCGTTCCCTGCTTGTGCTCCTCTTGTGCTTTCTGCTGTCTTTATCTTCATAAAGACGCTGCCTGTCCTTCCTTTCGTAATCGTTTGACAGCTTGTCCCCTCCCCTCTCCTTGGAGAACTCAGCGTGCTGATTTGAAGAGGACTTTTTCCGGTCCTTCCAGTCTGAACTTCTAACATGTCCATCGCTGATCTTGATTTTCCTGTGCACTCGGCTGTGGCCCTCTTTAGAGCCGTGAGCTGCACTGTGTTCAGAGTCTGTCCTACGTTCTCGATGTCTCTTCCCTTTCTTGTCATCAGAGAGACCTGCACTCTCTGGTGGAGGGCTTTTAGAATGCTCCGATCTGTTCCTGCTTTTACACGATCTGGAGTCATGATGTCGCCCGGTGTCTTTGTCCGCTTTGTGAGACCTGTACTTGTCAGGAGCTGAACTGTCCTTGTTGGGATCTGAACCACTCCTATATCTCCTGTCCGTCGACTCAGGTGGTTTTTGACATCTTTCCTCTCTGTGCTTAGACTTGTGTCTGTCTGATTCACTGTGTCGGGTTGATGAACTGCTACTGGATTTCCTGCTGGAGGCGCCGGGCGGATCCCCTTTTTTTCTTGGGGATTGAAGAGGATTGCTGGGGGTATGAGCCTCCCTGGGAGGTGACGCTGGTAGGGGTGGAGGAGGACCGGAGGAAGCAGGAGGAGGCGGCGGCGGCGGTGGCAGAGGACCGGATGGAGCTGGAGGAAGCGGCGGTGGTGGCGGAGGACAGGAGGGCGGTGGAGCGCGGGAGATTGGCGGAGGAGGACAGGAGGGCGGTGGAGCGCGGGAGATTGGCGGAGGAGGACAGGAGGGCGGTGGAGCGCGGGAGATTGGCGGAGGAGGCGGCCTTAACATGGAGCTCTGACTGGTAGATTTGGGATCCCGAAGATTATTGTTGTAAGATTGGTGATGATGGTGACGTTTGACCGACCTAGGAAAGACAAAGTTGTCATACGGATTAAACACACATCAGGAGGCACATAAAAATAAAAGCTTTGTACTGCCAAAATAATCTTAGTATGGAGTATTTTTATACATTACATTCAGCCCTAAACAGATAAATAATAGTTGTTGATAAAACAGCAGTTAATGAGATTGGGACCGGAAGGCTCGGCCTTTATCTTCACGCGTGGAGACGTATGTTGTGGCCACATGGGAATAGCGTTACAAGCATACAACTCCTGCCCGTCCCAATAGCAAAGCGTCGCCCAAAAGACTTTGCATTTGTTCTGCAATGCAGTTTTTTTTTTCTTTTGTCTAACATTTCCAGTTTTAGCAACAAAATCAGGGAGACCCTTTTACGTCTGTAGTTGCGAAACAAGTTTTAGGGACTGACTTGTGAGTCCGCCAGTTGAGAAAAAGGTATATGCATACAAAAGAAAAAATGCTTACTGTTGGTTCAACCTCTGAATCTCAGCATCTTTTCGTGCCACCTCCTGTCTTGCGGTTTGTAAAAGTGCCGAAATGTTCCTTTTGAGAAGAATATTCTCGCTGTTCAACCCTGTATTCTGTTTCAAAGGAGAGGGAGAGAGTACAACAACGAAACATGTTAGTGCTGTTGAAGTTTTAGAGGATTACAGTTAAACAGTATCAATTAAGATTCCTGTCATAATAGAATCTAGATTTGACCTTTTCCCCACAGGCAGCTAATTTACAGCAACTACCAGTGGCAGTGATTTGGAAATGAAAAGACGCAAAAATCTGTGAGCTCTAGAAGCTAAAGTACCAGATGGCGCATAACCGAGACGATAAAGGAGCGTCGCAGCCCGACATGTATTTCATAAGTCACATCAGACGACGATGCGGTTTTCCATTTCAGCACTTGATATGTTTTGACCGGAGAATACTGTTTTGGAGGATTCCAGCTATCGGACAACCAAGATAACATCTCAGTGGCTGAGGTTTGTTATCCTCCAAAAAATACATTGAAAGAAACCACATGGGAAATTGCGATTGGCAGAAAAATGATGAAATGAGTCCAACAATATATTATCATTTGATTTTAAACATTAATATGAAAACACATTTAGACAACAATGCACAACTTTTCTATAAACGGCTGAAGGATAAAGAAAATAAAGCAAACCTGCAGCTGCATCTGCTCCACTCTCCTGCGTAACTCAAGGATTTGATTTTGAGCTGCCTGGAATCTGGACTTCAACTGCACACAAACAAAAAGAAAAGGATTGTGAGATAGTTGGCACACATGAAGGAAAACCATTGTTGCTGCTTTTTGTCCTCACACACCACTAGTAAATAAAACAATTCTGAGACTGCAACACAATTGAATATATACAATTTAAAGCAAAGCAGCAAATGAGGTTGTCTCAAGCTTCCCCTTCGGTATGGAAGGATCATGACGCTGTAACAGGTCGACAGAGAGAATGAAGCATCGAGTACACGGCAAATCACCTCCGAGTAGGACGTCTCTCTGCTCTGCTGTTCCTCTGTGACAATTTCTTCGTAGAGGTCCATTGATTCCTTCAGCTGCGATGCCTTTTGTGATAATTGCTCTGTGATACAGCAAAAAAGAGACAAATACTGTAACGATAAAATTGCTAAGTTGGACGGAGGAATCTGAGCTGGACACTTTCCCAGTGTTACAATGGTAATTTGTAGTAATAGCACTGTGCGATAGGAGAACAAAGTGAAACTTTCAGGTAAGACTTTTACCTCCATTGCTGCTGAAAGGGCTGTCCAGGCCGTCATAGATATCCACAGAATCCTCATTGTCCTCAGGCAAAAAGACTGGAATGCAATATACATGTTTTATCAATGCACGTCATCACTTATGGACAGCTACGATCAACCCTTTTGCCTCCATACAAGACTTGTATACTTGTAGACTACTGAGACTTAACCTCAAACTACTGCCATCAATGTACAGAATTCCTACTATGTTAATTTCCCAATGCAAAAACTTCCATTCCCTGTTTTAAAAGCTGCTAAATAGAGGAAAAGAAAACTTTTCCACTACATATACTGAAAACATTGAATGATTTTATCCATGAGAAAAATGTACACAGTATAGTTTGGAAAAGCAAATGCTTTTATTTCAATGTCATATACAGAAAGAATTGCATGATACTGAATTGGAGTGAAACCACGTCTGGAGCCTATTTAACATACGCTACAATATCTTTATTTCAAACCAAAATATAATCCAGAATACCGCTAAAGAAAACCCAACGTGAATGTTCTTTGTTTTGTTAAACTTACGACCGGGGTTTTCGCTGGTGTCGATGTCGTCCATATTGCTGCTGTGGCTCAGATCCTCAAGGAGTTCCTGATGGCGACGCCAAAGGAAAACCGTTATCATACGAACACATTTAATTAATACAAAATTGATTCTAGCATTAACATACAATTTTCACTTCTGATTGTTAGTTCAGCTGTTGAGCAGCTTTTAAAATAACCCAGATGAGGTCATCTGTATAATCTCCTCTTTTACTTACAGTTATGGGCTTGGAAGATGTTGGCATGAAAGGTCAAAAATGCCACTGATTGCATAATGTTAGGATAGAACTTAAATTTGGACCACTGTCATGCAACTCAATGAAAGTTTAAAGCTAAATCACCATTCAGAAAACTAGGGCAATATAACAAGATACATTAATGCCACACAAGCTTGAATTTCCCTTCGTGTTATACCCTGTTAGTAATCTCTTTATTACTTCTACTCACTATATCAAAACAATAACTACTTAATGGCCTCTAATACAACCACTAGTGCCTTGGTTTAGATGTCTATCACCAAGTAATTTGCTAACTGATTCACCCACAACATGTGCGACGAGCTGCACATTCTCTTCTCTGCAGCAGGCAAACAAAGGCCGGTCACCGCTTTTGTTCACTTCTGACGTTACCACGACAAAGACCAGCAAAGCCTCACAACGACAGAGCAAACCAGAGAGAAACCGATGGGAAGGTCGCTGCGCAGTTCGATCTTGCTTCTGAACATTGATTGAATCCAATGCCTTCGGCCTCGATCCGGTACACGAACCCCTGAACTCTGAAGCTAAGATCAGCTAACGTAACTATCGTCCTGCGCTAAACTCTTCAACCAAACACGACTTCAAGTTCAAAACATATTGTGTTACATTGGTGTTTTATACATTAATAACCAGGCTATGGTCTGTTAGACCCTCGTTTGCCTTTTTCAGTTATTTCTTCTACCAATGCGCCAGCGGGTAACTAAACGTCAAAGTGCTCGTAGGGTAAATTTGGGACGGTGATGTGAAACATATAAGCTGGCCAGAGACTAATACAGTGCATAGCAGAGTTAGCTAAAGACGAATAGGTTGACTTACTCGTTTGCGTGTTGTTATGCGTCCTCCCGTTGTTTACCACTGTTATGTCGCGCCAAGACTTCATCGCACAGGAAGTACCGACATTTCCCGCGGTCTGTCACTGTGTGCTCGCAGCTCCTCGGCTACACAATGTTTTGGTAAAACAGTAGCGAAACCCTAACGGAGACCAGGTGTCTTGCGCCCCACGGTCCTCTCCGGGGGTTCACGGTTCCCCAAAGCCAGCTGACACACGCGAAATAATAAAAAATAAGAAAAGCAGCGGATCGGCAGCTCGCTCGAGGGAAAGTTGTTCCGCCCGCGGAGTTGCGCTGTGCTCGCGTCGCCGTCCGGTACGTCATCACAGCGCGACGCAGCAGGGGGAATCCAACCCCCGCGTGACCCGGAAGGATTTGCGCTCCGCTCACATGTGGACAGGATTTTAACACCAGCGACGGGAACATGCATGTGTGTTGTGATACAACCTCAGACAGACGAGCGCGTGATGAACCCAGTAGTTTGGTTTAATATCAGCGAAGCAGAATACCTGTTCATATAGCGCGCGAGCTTGTTTTCGCTCTAGACCGCCTCTCTATAGGCGACAAATGATAGGATGGAAAATTTAGAATTGAGCCTGTCATCACTGGGCACCATATCCAGACATGTTGCCAAAAGTCACAACGAACTGACCCAATATCTGTCAAAGCAGGTAAGATATTTTCATTCCTGGCTTGTGTGGAATAAGTGTTTTCTTTTCACACTAACTCAAAACGTGGCAGTAGGCACTCCACATGACCTACTTGGAGTCTATTCTGCTGCCTTTTTAATAGCTAGCATGTCAACATTTCATAACAAATATTTCTCTATGTGTGTGGTTTTTGGGTCACCCAATCAATATTCCTACTGGGACCCTTCCCATGTGATCTCTCCTCAGATATGGAGCCAGCAGGACAGGCAGTGTATTCTGGAGTGTGTGGCCCAGCTGCTGTTGGAGAAGGATTATACTTTGCTGATTGCTCGACACCTGCGGCCGCTGGTCTTGGACCTGTTGGAGCGCAACGCAGAGAGGGTCAAAGCTGGCGGCAGGATCAACCATGACCTCCACGAGCGCCTGTGTGTGGCCCTCAGCAAACTCCTCGGCGTCAGTCCGGACGCGCAGGCGTAAGTGGAAGCTGGTTCCTCCGGCACTCCCGACACACTGATGCATGAACCGTATTTAGGATTTCTGCAGGCTGCATCCACTCCGACCAATTCTCATCCTTCTCTCCACCAGGTTTGCTGCGCGGTACTTCGACGATGCCCCCCCGGTGTTTCAGCGGCTCTTCTTCACTAGTGAAGAGTCCTCGGCCGTTCAGTACGGCCCCAGGAGGATGAAGCTGCGTGACCTGATGGGGGCCACCCTGCGTTTCCTCCACAGTGACTGTGCCAAGTTTCGAATGCTCTGGGATTGGAGTCCCTGCGTATCCCAGCTGCTCACCAGCGATGTCATGGTTCGAGGGTATGTACCCGCCATCTCTATTGACTTTAGAGTGTCACGTGGACAGCGCAATGTAACAGTTAATCAACCACGGCTGGCTTCATAGGTTGAAAGCAAGGTAAAAAAATACATTTTTTCAATGCATTTTGGGTCAAATGTTATATTTTGTACTAGATCTGTATAATAAATTGAATCTAGACACAATTGAGCATGGCAAGGGCTATTATCAACATCCATCAAAACACATATAAACCTTTGAATAGGCAGCTAAATAAATCAGTGTTTATTACAGTTTTATGACTTGAACAATTTGACTCAAAGTGGTTTGTCAAACTTTTAGATGACGTTCACCACCTAAAAATTCCCTGTGCCCCTAAAAATTACAAAATCAGTCCATGGTAGGGAGTGAGGCTGCAGAAGAGATTAAAGAATAACACATTTAGGCAAAAAGACTGCAATGGTATCATCATTGTCACAAAATTAAGTTAATTACACCAAACCTTATTTTAGTCTATTCATATAGCAAATATAGAGCCATACATTCATTTATTTTGAAGGTCAAAGATGAGCTTTCTTGTTTAAACTACACCTTGTTTTCTAAATGGTTGCACTTGTTAACAAGCAGCGGGTTTTGCCAACATTTTTGTTTTTTTGGAACTGGAAGATGCACGAGAGGGTGAGGTAAAGTACAACTCAAAACCGTAAAAACATTTTTACACAACTAATATCGTTGAATAATTTAAACCAAAAAGTTGGAAAAACGTGCGAGCAGACCGGACAACACCATTGTGGCGACTTGTCAAACAATCTAGACAACCTAGAATATATCCTTTTTTTAGGTCTATTTTACTCGAAATTGGACCTTAATTTACTAAATGAACATGTATTGAAATGATTTGAACCTAGTGATAGAGCCTATGAACTCATGTTTACAAGGATTACTAAGGGAACTAATCAAGTGAGACGTAGAGCCATTGAGATTTCCAAACAATCTGACTTCTTTAAGCGACCAGAGGAGCTGTCCCTGATGGTAATTGGAAAGAATGCAGGTTTAAGACTCTACAAGTTCAACCTTCTGTATATTCTCATTGTCTCCAACAGGTACACTGCTCATTGTTTAGCGCTGGTCTCTCACATGACTGATAATCAGAAAACCATCTTTCTGAGAAAGGTGCTGTCGAGCGATGAGATCCTGCACATGAAAATGAAGTATGTTTTTTTCTCACTTTTCTTGTTATTATTATTATCATTATTTTGGGATATGTCCTGAGTGTTATGAAACTTTTTCAGCAGTGGAAGAATTTTTCTGATTACTTACTTAAGTAGAACTACTAATAGAAAAGCAAAAGAATACTCAATTAATAGTAAAAGTACAAGACACAACATTTTAATTAAATAAAAGCCATTGTGTCAGAATCATCACTTTGTTCTAAATATTTCACCAGAGCTTTAGAAGAAACTCAGCAGCTGGAGGTGGAAAAAGCCCTGGTACTAACCAATCAGGGCTCTGTGATGTGGCGCCAGGAGAAGGCTAATAAGTTCACCCGGGGCCAGGTGGTATCAGAGGACCTGTCCCAGAACGTTGTGGCAGTCTGTGGGGTTGTGCTACCCAGGATAGTTCCTAGACAGACTGAACAGGTGTGTACTCGTCAACCTATCAAATATAGCAATCTATCGGGGAGCTTTTTGGTCCTCATGTTGATTTCATTGTGCAGAGGAACCCAAAAGATCTGGTGCTGGTGGACTCCACCTGCCGTAATCTGAGAAGACTGGCATTGGCTGTGGCTTCCCAGAAGCCAGTGCTGCTTGAGGGTCCTATTGGATGTGGCAAAACTGCCCTGGTTGAGTTTATGGCGGCTGTCACAGGACATACAAAAGCTACGGAGATCCTGAAGGTCCAGCTGGGAGATCAAACTGACAGCAAGGTGAGTGTGAATATGGAAACAGGCTGAACTTAAAGTGGCTCTCAAACAATTTTACACCTGCCCACCCACATATAATGGTAGGGGAAACACTGGTCATGTTTTAAACAATACCCAGCCCTACTACAGAGTTGCATTATGAGAAGATTGGCCCATACATCCTCCATTCGCTTTCAGCCATTCTGGCGTGCCGCTTTAACATCCAGGGGAAATTGGATGAAGAGCGGGAAACCTCGGGTGAATGTGTTTGGTTTGGTTTACAGATGCTGCTGGGGATGTACCGTTGCACTGATATACCGGGGAAGTTTGTGTGGCAACCGGGCACATTGACACAGGCCGTATCCAAAGGCCAGTGGATCCTCCTGGAAGACATCGACCACGCACCTCTGGACGTGGTGAGTTAAAACATCTTCATCCTCCGGGTAGATTCTTAACAAACAAGTTTTAGTTAGACTAATATGTTGTGCTCGTATCATTGCAACAGCTTCAAACTGGACTGAAAACCTTTTGTTTTAGATATCGGTGCTTCTGCCTTTGATGGAGAATAAAAAGCTGATGATTCCGGGGCGCGAGGACTGCATCGATGTTGCTCCTGGATTTCAGTTCTTTGCGACAAGAAGGTAAGGAACAGCGGCTTGTAAATATAGAATTTTTATCTGGTAACCTTATTTTATCTTTCGCTTTTTGGATGTGTCTCAATGTCTGAATATGAATATGATATATGATGATATCCTACAGCCTCTCTGATCTTTCCGCATTGCTAACGTCTCAGTACTCTTCAAACAATGTAGGCCGTGCAACAACGGATTCCATGTATACTTAAACTGATAAAGATCTTTCTTTACGCTGCTGTTCCCGTTCACACCGTCGGTGCTTTGCAGGGTCACATTTCCTCGGTGTACTCCTCGCTAACCCTTTTGTGAAAGAGGCCTCCCAACAATTGTAGCAGCGCAGGTAGCCTCACCTACCAGTTGTTGGGCAGGGATGACCTGCCAAACGCACAAACGCTCATAACCAATCTGAAACCAGCGAGTTCCGATCAGCGCGTGGAGCGGGCGTAATGCGCCGTGATGTGCTTGTGTGTTGAAGGATGTACTACAGTGGCGGCAGTTGGCACAAACCGCAGAACGCTCACGCAGCGCTGCTGGACAAGTACTGGACCAAGCTGCAGATGGGCAACATGACGCGGGAGGAGCTGAAGAAGGTGAGCGCCGCCTGGAAGCGCTGAGTTTGTCCCAGAGTGAAAGTTTGTCTTCGGCACAGCGCTGCTGCCCGGGGCTTTAAACAAAAAAGTAACGTAAGAAGGATTTAACTTTTCGTTGATGAACGGCACGATAAAGGGGAGGAGGCTGGTGTGTCGGGGCCACAAGAAAGCAGCTGGGTAAGAGGGAAGGAGTTGAGGCAACGGGCCTTTAACAAACAAGCCGTTCAGGAACGAGTGGGGCAAAAATGTTGATCACCTTAATAACCACAACCATGAAAATCCAAGTTCACGGCCGGACTGTTGAGTCCTGCCGTGCATTTTGTGATCGTTCCAGCCACGTGTCTCACTTCTTTTATGTGTCACCGGTACAGACAAGGCCTCCGTAAAGGACGAGGGGGGCTTTGAAACAGGAATTGAAATCCCTGTTTTAATTTTGATTTCTGATTGAGCAGCGAGGAGATGACACAAACTAATCTCCCCCCTCCCGCTCCTCCTCCCTGTGTAGGTGCTCATAAGCAGGTATCAGAGGCTGACGGTGGTGTCGGACCGTCTGCTGGATATCTACTGCCAGCTGACCGGGGAGAGACACTCTGACATGGACACGGGCGGCCTCCAAGCGTCCGAGGACAGCCAGCAGCAAAAGTCTGAGGACAAAGGCACACCGCTGGAGGGGAGGGCCCTGTCGCTGAGGTGAGGCCCCGCTCGCCCCTCTCTGTTCTCCCTTCACTGCCCCCGTCTAATGAAATAACGTTACGTCTTATC